AGTTTATCCTCTAAAGCCATGGCTTCTCACCCCCATAGTGCACTCTGCCAACAGCCAAAGAAGCACACTGTAACATGGCCCATGTCTGCACCTGGTCAGAAGTGGAGTGCACTATTGGAATATTAAAGGGAAGGTGGCGGTGTCTGGATGCAACAGGTGGGAATCTACTATAGAAGACAGGCAAGGTGTGCCAGATTATCTCTGCCTTTTCTGTTCTGCACAATATCTGCTTGAGACATAGACTTGACATGCCAGAACGAGAAATGCACGTGGATGTACCAGTAGATCCCTCCCACTACCCGCTGACTGGAATGCTGTCACAAAGGTGAACTCAGAAACTAGGGAGAGCTGGATCCAGATGTAGAGAGATTGTTGTTGTAATAATAAAATACAAAGACAAACCAGGAAACCAATAAATGGAAGGAACAGAACTGAGCACACCAACAAGACATCCATATATGGACATGGACAACAAGACCTAACAAAGAACAAAGGAAACACAATGGCTTTTATACCCTGGAGTTAATATGCTAACAAAACACACCTGGACAAAATCAGGGAACTAATCAACCAGAAAGCTACAAAGGGCCTACAAAAATATGGCACAAGAAACAGGAAAAGATCACAGCCGAAAAATCCAAATAACAAAAACACATAGCAGCATATAGACATCTTTAGCACCATGGAGAGCACCATCAGAGGAGGCCACGGCAGGAGTTGGGTTATTCAGTAAGAATGAACAGGACTAAGGATAGCTCCTCTAATACAGGTATGCACCTTTTCCCCTCTAACAGGGAGCCTCAGCTGCACGCTGTTAGACACAATAAACCTCAACCACATAAAAGAGAACAAGGAGGCCTCAGTAGGAGAACAGCCTAGAGTGCTGGATGTCCCACAGCCCAGACGTTGGACAAGATCTAACAAAGACAAGCTCTAGAGGGCAGATGCTTAGTGAGGGCATGAGTAGCCTGATCTTCCTTCCAGATTGAGGAATTTGTTGCACTAAGGGCTAGTCTCAGAAGGAAGTAATACTTCACAGTTACATTTTTACCCTATCCACTCTCCCTCACTTTGAGAATAAAGGAAATTAAAGGGGTCATATGATGCTTTTTTAAAGATCATTATTTTGTGTATTTGGTGTAACAGAATATGTTGACATGCTTTAATGTTCAAAAAACACATTATTTTTCAAATACTGTACATTATTGTAGGTCCTCTATGCCCCGCCTCTCTCAAACGCTTCGTTTTCTACAAAGTCCCTCCTTCTGACAAGCGCAGTCTGCTCTGATTGGCCAGCTGACCCAGTGCATTGTGATTGGCCGAACACCGCAAGCACTCGTCGGAAATGTAACGCCCCTTACCATAATCGCGAGCTTCATCTTTCAAAATAAATGTAAAGACAGTAAATAATGTCATTAGTTTTACCATCAGTTCAAGCCCGAAAGGGGAACAGAGTCGTGTGACAGACACAGTGATGAAGCTGGTATGTGTTTGCAGTACACAAGCCACGGTTAAGACAGCTGACTCCACTGTGATGTGACCCTGTCTCTCTCTCTCTCTCACACACGCACACACACACGATGTGCAAAACTCTGCATTTGAACAGTCAATAGCAAATACTTAAACTAATAACAAAACAGTAGCTGATTCAGAAGTGCCAGATTGTCATAGCAAAGTCAGAATTACTTCCTCTCCTAGGTTCATGAAACGGTCGTCCATAAAATGCATTGCTGTTCTGTTGTAAGTAATCTTAAAGATTCCTAAATGCATCTACTTTCGGAAGGCTAAATAAAGTGCTTTTGCTTTCGCCTAGAAATACACAGCGTCTCCCTGACATGGCTGTTTCAACACTAACTGCGGTTACTGAAACCGCGCCTTCTTTCTTTGCGTGCACATTTGCGGCGGGATTATGCAAATATTTCCACATAGTGGGGTAGATATGTGGGGGCGTGTTAGAATGAGCCGTTTTAGGGGGGCGTGGCAGAGTCTTAACTTTGATAAAGAATATCTCTTTGGTTTTGAGACTTTAGTCTTTGCAACTTCAGGGATCTTATCTATGCACAATCAGCTTGTAACACTCCAAAGAGAAAGGAAAACTTGAAATCGCATCATATGACCCCTTTAAGTTTTGCCCTCCCTGAGCTCCTGCCTGGCGAATTGTTTGTTCTGACACCCCGAGATGAATTCCCCAAATCCTGTATTTTAAGGTTACAGAACATATAACAAATGCACATGTCACTGCATTTGTGAGAAGACGTCAATCCACAAGTTTTTCCAACAGGTAAGACTATTCAAAAAAGAAATCACACTCACAGTTTTCTCATACAATCAACAAGAGCAGACAGAGTCAGGTTAATCACACCTGCCAAAGTCCATTACCTCAACAACTAACTGATTTACCTCTTTTTGTGATCACAGGATGGCCGCAGATAGCACCCTACCCTGACTAGGACAGTGTCACGTTTATATAGTGAATAACCAGCACTCTCTTCCACCTTCAATACCACTACTGAGGTGAGACCCTTGGGCAAGGACCCCTGCAGCAATATGGCTGTCCACTGCTCCAGGTCTGTGTTCATGGTGTGTGGTTACTACTGTGTGTGTGCACTTGGATGGGTTAAATGCAGAGCACAAATTCTGAGTATGGGCCACTATACTTGGCTACACGTCACTTCACTGTCTACCTTAGTTGACATAGTTTCCTAGTGTGTGCCTGTGTTTCCATAGGTACCCATTTGTTACCTTGGTTACTCATGAGTTAATTGATAAGTCTCATTTATTCCTTGTTTCATGAATAATAAATGCATATTTATAGTCCTGAGTTTCAGTCCTTGATTGTCCTTTCTTGTTTTTATATTAATGGTTTGCTTCTCCTGTGTTTCTGGTTTCCTGAGCTCATGTGTTGAGATATATCTACTTTGTTTTGTTTTTGGAAGAATTAAAGTGCTGCTAAATACAATCCTCTATCTCCCCTTGCCTTTGCGGAGGCAAACCTGATAGAACAACGGACCAATAATTGAAATGGATCTGTCAGCAGTATGTCTCCTCCTCCTCTTCAGAAAGGCGGGGCATAGAGGAGAAACAATAATGTACATTATATGGAAAATAATGTGTTTTTTTAACCTTAAACCGCATAAACACATTGAATTACACCAAATACACAAAATAATGTTCTTTTTAGCAACGTCATTTTACCCCTTTAAAATAATTCTTCATCTTCATTCTTCACCATCCATTTTAACGGGGCCTCTGCACTTGTTTTTTGTCTCTCTTAATCATTTCTTAATCCATTAGACACTTCAAACTCCAAAATTCCTTGATTGTCCTTTCTTGTTTTTATATTAATGGTTTGCTTCTCCTATGTTTCTGGTTTCCTGAGCTCATGTGTTGAGATATATCTACTTTGTTTTGTTTTTGGAAGAATTAAAGTGCTGCTAAATACAATCCTCTATCTCTCCTTGCCTTTGCGGAGGCAAGCCTGATAGAACAACGGACCAATAATTGAAATGGATCTGTCAGCAGTATGTCTCCTCCTCCTCACCCAGGGGGATCAGTCCCTTGAGGACCACACCAGTGACTTTTTTGACCTGGGAGCCTGACCAGGTGCAAGAGACGGCACCAACATCTATATTAGAGGGCATTCTCATGGAGTTTGAAGGGATGGAATGGACGCCGTGTGTGACGCTGTGTGTTTTGTTGTGAAAGCGAAACTACTTTGTTTGGCCTTCCAAAAGAGGACACAACTAGAAATCAGTGGTTAAGTTGTATTTACAACACTGTTCCAGAACAGTTCAACCCAAATATTCAGATGTGTGCAGCGCATTTTATGGAGGACTGTTTCCTGAACCTGCAGAGTAGTCTACAATGCGACTGTGCACAAAGTCTGCTTCTATAAAGTGGGGCAGTTCCAACTTTGCAAGGACAGCCTGGCGCTTCTGACTCACAGCCTGTAAGTATGTTTTTTATATTTAAAGAATTTGCCACTGACGATTCAAACGCGAGTTTTGAGCAGTGTAGGGTAGCGCTTGTTGTTTGTCGTTTCTCCGATCACAAATGCAGACATGGTTTTATGTTTACGCGGCGCGATACATAACGCAACGTGTAAAAAGACAGTATAAGTCATTATAATCAGTAATTATTAATTAATTATTGCAACAAATGCCTCGTTTGTAAGGGGTTTTACTGGTTTTGTCTCGTCGCGCCAGGACACGGCTTCACAGTATGGTAAGGGGCGTAACATTTCCGTCACATGCTTGAGGTATTTAGCCAATCACAATGCACCGGATAGCTGGCCAATCAGCGTACACCTCGCTTTTCAGAACGATGAGCTTTGTAAAAATCTACGTGTTTCAGAAAGGTGGGGCATAGAGGAGCAACAATAATGTACATTATGTGGAAAATAATATTTTTTTAACCTTAAACCGCATAAACACATTGAATTACACCAAATACACAAAATAATGTTCTTTTTAGCAACGTCATTTGACCCCTTTCAAATAATTCTTCATCTTCTTCTTCACCATCCATTTTAACGGGGCCTCTGCACTTGTTTTTTGTCTCTCTTAATCATTTCTTAATCCATTAGACACTTCAAACTCCAAAATTCTTCGCAATATGTCCTTCTAACAGCTTTCTTCAGGAAACATAAATTGACCTTTGACTCTTTAAGAACTACATTTGTGATTGTGTTATACATTTGTAGCTGTAATTTAATGGGAGTTTATCCTTTAGCTGGATCTGACAGACCCACCAACTGTTGTATAGGATGGTGTTGGATAAGTTATATTTCAATAAAATGCAATCAGAAAAAAATGATAATCAAGCACTTCCTGTCTTCTGTTCATAGAGCCTTCACTCATGGAAAACATGGTGAAACACCTGCATATCTTTTTACAACTGAAACACAAAAGGCCATAAAAATGCATGTGACCATGTATATAAGGCCAAAACAAAGGCATCGCAAAGCTATAGCATCAGGAAATAAGGAGCATAGGCCTCACCTCATCTTCAGGTTGCCTGGCTGTGGTTGTCCATCATAGATGGAGACAATGTCAAAGTCCTCCTCCAGAGCGAAGGTGTGAAATGACAACTGTATCCTGTTCCGCTCTCCAGTGACTATGATCCACGTACAGTTGGCATAGTTGGGGTAGCCGTGGGGAAAGCCAGGACTCTCTATAGTCCCATTGAGACCTTGTACCAAGCCGCCACAAGTCTGACCTAAGGACACAAAAACAGAAAGTTAGTGACCTCCATCTGTCATTACATTATTTTACATTGTATGTTTTTGAAACAGTTCTGCTCTGCAGTTATATATATATATATATATGTCTCAAGCATTCAGAAATCATGCAAAAGAAAATTAAGCAGTTTTACTACGATACAACCATGGTTAATTTTTGTAAGGGTTGTGATGTCCACATGTATTTTGTTGAAGAAATTTTAGAGGCTGTGTCATCTATATATAGCAAAAAGGTGGCCAAAAATTAAAGATTAAGTGGATATTTGAATTAAATGTTTGGTCAATAGCCTATTAAACAAGGATTTGATTGTCCTGTAAGTGTAGCAGCAGCAATTACATGGCCTTTGGCTCCCTTTGCAGGCATTTGTAATAACATGTAATGTACATAAATTGTTTATTTTGTATTACATTATGTATTTTAACAGTGTTATTCAATGAAACCATAAAATTATTAATTAACCAATCATTATTGCCTCATTGATTTTTTTAGGCTTATGAATGTGCCTGAAAGTGATGCACGGGCTTCGTTTTAACTTTTTTTTTCTTCTCTCGAAGCTGGATTGCTGATGTTTTTCACGGGCATAGTTGTCCATCAATTATGATAATTTGCCGCAAACATGAGGTGCGACATGAGGTGCGAGCGCGGAGCATGTTTTTTTTTTT